AGAGAGAAAGAACCCCAATCCCGTGGGGCAGGGTGTCCACAAAGCGCAATAGGGTGACAGCTGTGCTTACCTCCGTGTGGCGCGGAGCTCTACACTGGTCCTTTTGCATGCGGTCACCCGACGGTCTACGTGGGTGCACCTCCGAGCCTGTCCTTAGTCCTGGTTTAGTCCGATTTTAGTCCTGTTTTAGTTCTAGTTCAGTCCTGGTTTAGTCTTCCTGGTTCAGTCCTGGGATCAGTCCTAGGTTAGTCCTGGGTTAGTCCTGGTTTAGTCCTCCTGGTTCAGTCCTGGGATCAGTCCTAGGTTAGTCCTGGGTTGGTGTGTGTGTTGTAAAAGTCTGGCATCTCGATCAATGTTTCTTCTGCTCAGTAAGTAATGCCTGTGAAGTGATGACAGTAGAGTTGCATCTGTGAATTTGTGTTTGTACTGAAGAAAAAATAACCGTTTCATTTCATTTGGTGATTGCAATTCTTGAAGTCATAACTTCTGATGGCTGCTTCAGTTAGAATGCTTTTGTTTTGTGTGTGATTTATCACGGGCACGGGCGGGTAATGGGTGTGTGTTTAACTTTGATATAATCACTGGTTAATGGGCAGGTGCGGTGCTGTACTGCGTGGGTGCGGGCGGGTGCCAAAAATGGACCCGAACATAACTCTGCATCAGAATTCTGTTTTGTTGCAATAATCTAAATGGTAGCATTAATTTTACACACACAAAAAAGCTTAGTTAATCACAAAATTGCTGTTTTCACTTACCTCTTATCCCTGCCCACAACTCAGTACCATTATTTTTTTTTAAAGAGAAAAATCTAGTTTAGTATAGTGCACTTTTTTTTTTTGCATTGCATCCTTCTTTGTTAGCTGAAACCGCTCCATAACAAATGGCCCATGTCCTATATAGTCCCATCTCTGCTTCTCTTGGGGACTTGATGTATCTTTAATGTATTACAGTGGATGGGGAACAGTGGGATCTGAGTTAGGCTGCACACAGAGAGCCCAGGAGGCAGACCTAGATCAAGCTGAGCAGAAGAAGTCCTCTCTCCACACACATGCATACCCCCTCTCTCTATAGCATGCAGTATAGAACAAAGAACATAGGAGTTAATGGCTTTTCTTTACCTTTCAAAATGCCTCTGCTCTTTGGCCTTGGACTAGAACAATTCTGAGGGTAGTGTAGGAAGTTGTTATTGTGAGAATTTGTCTTGTGCAATGTCCACCCTGTGTGCTGTGGTTTCTGTTATGGTTTATTAGAGGAACAGTCAGGCCGTGTCGAAGAAGTCCCTGCTGGAAAATCCTTTATTTAATCTGCACAAAAGAGTCGGGAACTATCAAGGATGAAATTTGTTCTGTGCAAACTGTCAAAACAACCTCATACGAGCACAACTTTTGAGCGGTTGTTTTCGTTTGAGCCTGCCATTGTTGCAAGTAGTATTTTTGGCATTTGCGGGGTTGGGGCAGATTCTCTACCACCCATAGACTTTATAAAGAATTGAACTAAGGGAGTGTGACGTTGCCCATAGTGTTCGGCTCCAGTCTAATGAGACTCATGAGGCTAGCAATGATAAGGGTGAATTTGGAGCCAGGCCCATATTAGGATAAGGAGTTCATTTACGGATAAAATAGCGAAATAAAAATCCTGTATCATGTAGAGCGGATTATAAAATACAAACATTTTAATACCATAATGACGAGGCTCACTCTATCAGTTACAGAGAGACGGGCGACAATTTTCCAATGTAAAATCAATTGGAAACAGAGTCGATGGAGCTGGAAGCGTCCCCATGAACATTTCCTATTTGTGGCTAGTGGGTTAGATATGTCCATTTATGTACACAGTCGATGCTATCACCACACCAGGCACTACAGGTTCCTAAAACCTTAACACAGTGTTCTCGGGTGTGGGTCATGGTGATGAAGAATAGGAACCAAAAATTATCCTTGTTCAAAAGTGGAATTCATTAAGAGTTTTATTTTATTATTTTTTCATCAAAGTGCACCTTTAAAAAAGCACTTGGCCAGAAATGTTTTTTAATATAATTATTCAAGACAAAAGAAAAACCTATCAATAGTCTTGAACTTGGAGACCCATTGTCCATTATAAGCACTTTTCAGAATTTAATTAAGACTTTATTATTTTTAATTTGAACAAAAAAGATGGGGTCATTTAGTAAATTGGTAGTGTGTGTGTGAAATGCCCATTAAATCTCTTCTAAAATTGATTTTCTAATATTTGCCAGAATGTCCTAGAATACTATTACATATAACACAAAAAAATGAAACCCTTGAAGCATTCCCAATAACATCTGAAGAAAATTCTGCTTTCTTCTAACTTAATTCTAACTTAATATTCTGGCCATGTCCATCTTGAGTGCACTAACGGCCAAGGTGCCCCTTTGCTGGCCACAAGCTGCCAGTGGTTCCCATAGAGATGATGTGTAACTCACATGTGAATGACTTCTATTAATGCAGCTCATTGATGAAGCTGAGCCAATCCATTCTCCAACACAGGTCAAAGAAATCATCATCGCCATCACTGCCACAAGCATCATGGCTCTTATAGTTCTGCTCCCTCTCCTCCCTTTCCACCCTTTCCTCCTTCTGCTCCCTCTCCTCTACTCCCTCTGTTTCTTTTCCTCTCTCTGCTCTCTCTCCTCTCTCTATTCCTCTCTCCTCCCTCTGCCGTTCTCCTTTCCTTGGCTCCTTCTGCTCCCTCTCCTCCCTCTGCCTCTTCTCCCTCTCCTCTCTCTGCTCCTCTCCTCCCTCTGCTCCTCTCCTCCCTCTCCTCTCTCTGCTTCTCTCCTCCCTCTGCTCCCTTTGCTGTCTCTCCCCACTCTGCCCCGCTATCCTCACTCTGCTCCTCTCTCCTCCCTCTGCTCCTCTCCTCTGCTCCCTCTGGTCCTCTCCTCCCTCTGCTCCTCTCTCCTCCCTCTGCTCCTTTCCTCTGCTCCCCCTGCTCCTCTCTCCTCCCTCTGCTCCCTCTCCTCCCTCTGCTCCTCCTCTCTCCTCCCTCTGCTCCTCTCCTCTGCTCCTCTCTCTCTCTCCTCCTCTGCTCCTCTCTCCCTCCCTCTGCTCCTCTTCCTCTGCTCCCTCTGCTCCTCTCTCTCCCTCTGCTCCCTCTGCTCCCCTCTCCTCCCTCCCTCTTCCTCTCTCCTCCCTCTGCTCCTTTCCTCTGCTCCCCCTGCTCCTCTCTCCTCCTCTCCTCTCTCCTCCCTCTCCTTCTCTCTCCTCTCTCTCCTCTCTCTCTGCTCTCTCCTCTCTCCCTCTCTCCTCCTCTCTCTCCTCCCTCCTCTCCTCCCTCTCTCCTCCCTCTGCTCTCCTCTCTCCTCCCTCTGCTCCCTCTCCTCTGCTCCTCTGCTCCTCTCTCCTCTCTCCTCTCTCCTCCTCTCTGCTCCTTCTCTCCTCCCCTGCTCCTCTCTCCTCCTCTGCTCCCTCTGCTCCTCTCTCCTCCCTCTGCTCCTCTCTCCTCCCTCTGCTCCTCTCCTCCCTCTTCTCCTCTCCTCTGCTCCTCTGCTCCTCTCTGGTCCCTCGGCCTCTCTTCAAACTCCCAGAACAACCTCATTAAATCTTCTGTGGTCCATGTGAAGTCGCTGTTCTTTTATCGTGCTTGCCTCCCGTCACTCACAGGGACATGCATACAGACACGTGTTTTAGGCGTGTAATTCCCCGGAGCATGGGAGACTCTTCTTTGTGGTCGCCCCCGCCAACATGCTAATCACTAATGCTATTCAGTCATTTTCCATTGTTGGGGCTGACATGTTTAAAATGCAGATGTGGCACTCTGCAGATCAAACAACACTTTAAAGACACTTTGGAGCAGTCGCTAATAAAGACAAGCTCTATCTACGGGATAGAATGATGAGACATTGTGGACTGTTACCACTGTGATTAACAATTTAAAACATTCAAAAAGTTATAAAAATATTGCATATAACAGGAAGCTGAAACCCATGAATAGGGGGTAAACAAAGGTGTTCTTTTATAGTTGAATTATCTCAAGAGAAATTAGTTATGGCAAAAAAATGAATTCTGAATTAGATTTTTTCCCCTCATATCGATAGATTTTGGTAAGGCAGACTTTTAATGAGGCCTATTTAACACAAAAAATGTCAAATTTCTTGAACTCTGCTCCAAACCAGATACTTTTACTGTCAGAGCATTGGCTATGGACCTCTCAAATAAAAAACTCCATCCATATCATTGACAATTAAACATGATGTGACTTGATATTGATTAAAATGTGATTAAATGTGCAGCCCTACATGTAATAATACTAGGCCTGTCAAAATGATTACAATATCGACTTACAGTTTAATATATGAAAGCTACAACAATATATTTTGCACTTCTGGGAAATCTTTGGTTATTTTTTGACTATATGATAAGATTTAAGCAGTAAAAGATTTGATAATAACTTCTATGGCTCATTACAGATGCAAACTAAGTACTAAGGTGTCTAATTTTATTTATTTATTGCAGCTCACGATTTTTTAACAATATTGTAGATTTAGAATAGTTTTCATAGTTTAAATCTGCTCTTGGGTTTTTGTGTCAGTGGCATAAATCTGTTTCAGCGTTATCATTTATCGTCTATTCTTCAGAAATATATCGAACTTCAAAATTTGTTATCCTGACAGGCCTACATAAAACCATATGATTTTTCCTCTGTATAGTTCGGTGTGTCTGGGCCTGTCACCTGTGAACTCAGTCGAGCAGTCTCCTTGTTCCCAGGTGTGATTAAACGCTGCTGTAATGAAAGTGGACGGAGCCCCGTTGTTCTGTGCAGTGTTCCAGCTGAGAGACCCATTAACCTGTTAGCAACACTGACTGTGAATTACACAATCTACACTAACTTTTGGTGACTTATCTAATGCTGCTAGGTGCTAAATAAATCTTTGTTAGAAGGCTAAACTTGTATCCGTAGACAGGCGAAACATCTGGTGCAATCTGTCTCTGTGTGCAGTGGGAGTGTGCTACTAAAATAAACTTGTTTGTGTGTTACAGACCAGTGCGGTGCTGTGTTCGGGAGGCTGTGCTCTGCTGGCTGTCAGCTCCCTGTTGGCCATCATCACCATCTTCCTGCCCAGTGGAGGCTGTGAGCGCCGGGCCTGCACTCTGGCCGGGTACATGCAGATGGCAGCAGGTACGGACTCAACACAACACCAGTCCAATGACAGCCCACAGCTCCCGGATCAGAACCAGAACTGATTTTATCTTCTCAGAGGAAATGTAGTCTTGGGCTGGAGTACAAACAGCTGCAGCGTATTAAATATAGGGATAAAACCATGAACATAGTAAGGATATTTATACACAAAATGATTTATCACAATATAACATTTTAAATTTGACTTTCATACTAAGGAATAGGCTCAATACCTGATACTAATTACAATACCACAATGATGAAAAAACACTATTTATTAGACAGCAGTGTGTACTTTTTTGTTTTTCTAAATGTAATTATAATGTTCTTTTGCCCAGTAGTAAAACAAACAAACAAAAAAAACTCCTAGGCTACACTGAAAATGCTATACATATACATATATAACACAGTGTTGTCATAAGACTAAATACTCAATACTGACACAGACCACAGAGATATATTTAAAAAAAACAACAACTCTTTGTTAGACAAGAATGTAATTAACAATATAAAATAATATTAGCTTCTTTAATGCTATAATTCTGATATAGATCCAGACAAGTTTAGAACTGTTTATTCCAATTTATGTGACTTTTTTCACTATCAGTACAAAATTAATATGTTTTTTAATCATTTTAACAACCCTACTCTACTAGTTAATGTTTTTGTGTATCTCTTTGGTTTCAAATCAAAATATAATTGTAATGTCTTTTCGCTCAGGGGTAAATGAGTTTTAGACACATTTAGGCTGCATTAGATTTTACATTTACATTACATTATACATTTACTGTTAACACATGTTGCAGTTCTAGATTTTGCACTTTGGCCCTTACTAACTTCTAATCATAATTCACACTCACAATGTTTAGTGTTCATGCTCGTATTAACTTCTTGGACAAACTGTTTATGTATTTCATCACAGAAGTTAACTACTGAAATAATGTCTCTTTTATACTCTACTGTAGGACTGTAATAAATGACTTAGACTGATAGCAGTGCCTATTACCAAAAAACTGAATAGAGCTGACTTTGTTATCCATCACTCACAAAAAAAAAAAAAAAAGAAAGGAAGATTGAGCTGGAGGACAGCTGCTGCTATGGCAACCGCACTGGTGCACTGACGATGAGGAATTTAGAGTCTGCAGTAAAAAGACAATTAATGCTCTTTAACACAGGTCATTGGTTCAGGGCTACATGTGGCTGATTCTTGGTGCACATGTTGGATTGATCTCGTAAACAAGCGCGGAGATGGTGATACTGGGGCTTTAAAAGTGGTAACAGTGCACGCCTCATGTGTCTGCTGAATACTGGCCTTCACAGTCCAGCCTGGTGCAGCCGTCCATTTTATTATGGGCCCTGTGACCGGAGGGACGAGGTGTGGTGTTGTGATATGAGAGGACACGCTCCATGAGAACTTTATAGCTTAAAGCCATGGATACTATTAGCAAAGTTATAGAGTGTGCTTGATGAAGCCAGTGTGAGGAGATTGGCAATAAGTTCAGAGATTCTGTTTAGCAAAGGCTTTCAAGTGTCTGAAGTAACAAGACGGTTTAAGCTATAGACTTCATGGATTCATGCCAGGCCCAGACTACTACTACTGCTACTACTCTTTTAACAAATTACAAGGCTGGCCAAAACTCAACAAACCAATGCTATTTTACATGGCAGGAGTTATGTATTAGGGCTGCAGTTGACTGAAGAAATGGCATTACAAATGTTATTTGCAATATTTTAAGGACTTTTCCCCATTAAACATATAAGATCATATCTTGCCTCTTGTCTTTGTGTGAGCACAAGCATGGGGTGTAGAGCTCTAAGCAAGAGGTGTGTCGTGCCTAAATATCAGGTGGAGTGGAGCAGTCTAAGGACATGGTGTGGCGCGTTCAGAGAATTGCCAGAATTGTAAAAATAAATATCAAACTAGTTCACTGAAAAACATTCCATGTAACATTCAAGGCATAAAAATCCTTTCTTTTATTTTTAAATATATGATAAATGCATAATATTCACATGTTGTTGTGTACTATCAGGGATATTTGTGCACTGTTGGAATGCCCCACGCCTGCTTCGTGTATCGGCTAAGCGCTGCTCTCCAGTTTTGGTTTGATCACTGTATATGTACCTGTCCCAGTGCATCTCCCAGCAGCCAAGTACAGCCAGACCTGGACACTCCCCCTTGTTAACACTTGCACTCACACAAAGACTGGTGGCAAGATAGGGCCCATAATATTTTGTTTTGAATTGTTAATCGCTATGGCAGCACTAACTTTTCATTATTCTGAAACCCATGGCTATGATCTAACCATCTATCTGATTCAAACTGCACGCACAAAACTACAACTGCACTGGACTTCATGCAAAACAGTGACTTACAACTACAGAATAATAATAAGAAACTGTGTATTTACGTAAAAAGGTAAATTAAATGATTAATTCATGAGTCAAATTGTAAAGGTGCATTTTGTAACTTTTCTGGTAGAGGGTCGGTCAAATGCTTTTCTCTATGGAGACATTATTGCATTGCCTGGAATGTTCCACAGTATGGTATCAAACCTTTCTATTTTCACAGAGACCGAATTAAACCAAGTTATAAGGTCAAATCTGTGGAGAAGCAAGCCCGCTCACTGTCAGAATGCCTGTTTTTCAATGCACTTTTAAGCTAACTCACTCCATATTTTCTCTTTTTTGCTGTGGTCCATACAAACCAAACTCTAAATGGAAAAAACAAAAAAACAAAAAACAGAATAATGTTCGTTTTGATGAACTTAAGACACCATCAACCAATTAATCATCTAAACAACTGTAGGTTTACAGTTCTACCAGGCGCCCGTGTGACTTTCCCCAAAATGCTGTGACGATATTATTTTTTACAGTAGCTCTAATCTTTTTGAATAGACTCTGAATATAAAAAAAAAAACAGGCCACAATGAAAATGGTTTGGTTAAAGGTTGGATCACTAATGGATATTTAACACAAGTGAAAGCAACAGATGGATCAGTGTAATAACAACATAAACCATTTAATGACCATTTCCACTGTAAGTCCTTTTACACTTGAGCCCATTCACAAAGCTGCAGTTGCTTCACATTTGGATCTTTTTTGCGTCATACAATCAGTCTCTGACATTTACGAAGAATAACATGGCATTTATTTAAAGTACATATGACAGGTTAGACTGCACTTTTCGCTAAAATGTTGTTAAGATAATTATATATACAACTTTGAGAAAAATCTTGTCTAGTTTTCACTTATCGGAAGCTTTTGTGAAGTTTAAATTTGACTTCTTGATTGAACACAGGTAGCCGATGTGATTATTGGCCATTAATATAAACTACTGATGACATAGATATAGGAAATCCTCAGATTTCTGCTCTTCTTCCTGTACTTTTTAGGGATGCACTGATAACGGATACTGATATTATGACTTTAAGTGGCTGCTGATAGCCAATATTAACTGATACCAGAGCAGGGACGGGCTTATTACACAAGAGATCCAATAGTGTTTTGGGTGAAAATGAATAAAAGTCCACACATTATGAGACATTCAAGGCCAAAATCAGCCTTTAAATAGTCTCATTACATTCAATTAAAGGCCCAATCACAATATTGGCTTAACTGATATTAAGATATGTATTACTAATATTACTTTCGGTACATCCCTAGTACTTTTTTCTCTCAACTTTTCTTCCCAAACTGCCACTAATATCTTTCATCATTTTACATCAGTTTAAACAAAAGTATTCTCCTAAATGAAGCAAATTAATAACAATCCAATAATAGAATAAATAAATCTTGTCACGTGTTCTAACCACTGGTGTGTTTTTGAGTGTGGTTTAAAGTTTCCCGAAGCCCTGCTCAGTGGGCCTCATTCATGAGTCTTTCCTTAAAAAATGTTCAGAACTTCCACTAAGAAGATGCTGAGAGAACTCTGCGTCAGATTCACAAAGCGTTCTTAAGCTCACAAATTCCTGCTTAAGTGACATTTGCGCCTAATTCACCAACATGCAGCTACGAACACCTCCACATTCATTTACATTTCATTTACATTACATTTGCACATTTATTTGGTTAGAAACGCCTTCTGAACTTTCAAATATGACCAATATGGGTTTGGCATTATGACACGTGAAAGCATGAGGGAGAGAGTGAACAAGGAAGTCAGGCTGGGACAGACTGAGGCTCACTGCAGCCTGTATAAAGTCTGTTAGATCCAATAGGCTAGATGTACTATAAAACGCCTCATAAATATTATTGGATCATTTTGGGTTATAGGAAATAACTCACAATCATGAAGGAATTAGAATTTTTTGTTGCATTATCAAAGTAATAATTTAAGTAGTAGAATTTTTGTTCTTTTGAGTGGTCCTGACTTTTCATAGGATTTGATCTTCCAGAAGAACATTTTCAATTAAAATGTTTTCTGAATGCTAAAAATGTTTGTAAGAAGACCTTAAGTATAAATTTATTTGTAAGAACGTTTCATGAATGCCCAGTTTTTGGAGGATGTGAAGTGACTCTTGTGCAGAACAGAGCAGGGTCTATCTGGTGTAATGGTGATGCTGAGTGATAGGACAGGCTTTTGTGTGCTTCCAGGTCGCCTCTTGTCTCAATAGATGGAGGTTTGAGAGGGACTGCAAAGCCCAGAGGAGAGCTGCGCTGTTTGTTTTCACAGCTACAGAAAAGATGTGTGTGCTTAGAGTGGTTAGAAATACAATTGAATTGTAAAGATAGGATGTAGGTTGAGAACAATAGCTTCTTTGTGTAGAGCGTGATGTCAATTGTGTTGAGAGAAACAAATCACCTTTATAGATATTAGTTCAATTAAGTTTTTATTATGTACAATTTGAAAGTGATGACACTGATTTGGGAAAGGTATCTGTTTACTAAATATTGGAATTTTCCACCAGTTATTATTAACAGATGTATCTCGGAAGTTTTTAATTTGTTACATTACAGCAGTGCTGCTCAAATTGTGGGGTTGCCTCTGCCCTCTCGACATT